GATCGGAAATGGTTTTTGGTAGAAATACCACATTTGGTATTTTTGAAGATAGAAGCTTGGGACTTTTATTTAGATATTTTATTGTAATTAATTGGTTTTATTGTGATATTCTCATAAGGACCGGTAACCTATATTCGATATTTGCGATATATATCCGGTTTTAACTGCAAGGGTATATCAACTTCGCCTCCGCCCGAAGTTAGCTTTCCTTTCTTGTTATAAGTATTTCTTATTGAAGTATAAGTATTTCTTATAGTATTCGTTATTGAGTGAAAAAACGAAAGAAATTATATTATATTTTTTAATATTTCAGCATACATTATTTTCTTAGCGTAGCAAGCCTGAAAAGTTACAAAAATCAAATGTCTACAACATTTCCAAACATCGCACAGTAGGCCGGATTGCCAAATAAGCGGAATAAAATCGAAAATTTTATTTAAATAAATCTTAATTTTTTTTAAACTTATCAATATTAAATTCCCTGTATAATAAGTATTAGAAAGTATTTTTGGTTGAAATGCAACCTTTCAATTTTTATTTAGCTTCAAAGTCAAGTGATTGAACAGCTAATTTTTGTGATTAAGTTGGCGGGAAACTTTTGTTGACTTTGTGCGCTTGGCAATCACACACGAAAAAAGAATTTAACATTATTTAAAATGAATTTTAAACCTCGAGGTAAGAAAATTGAGTTTAATGAAAGCATTTTGTGTAAAATTATTTTATGTGTATTATATGTGTATTGTTTTGTGTTGTCCAAAAGAAAAAACCTAACCTTTATGTTCGTCTTCTGTGGAGAAAAAAAGTCTTCTGCGTATTTCTGCAATGTGTAATGTATCTTTAACAAAAGAAGAAACTATTTAGAAAAATATAAAAAAAATCTCATTTGCGGCTTTTTGCGGCTTTTTCGATGATGACATTTTCAAGATGTGCATGAGTTCTGTCATGCAACCTTGCTAGACGTATGAATTGACAGCGCTCGCGACTCTAATGCGCTTGCTGAATGGATATTTGGCCAGATTAATGAGGGTAGACTGACAGTCGACCAGAAGGGCGAACTTTACAAAAAAATTAAAAGCTTTGAAATTTATATAAAATCAAATCTGCAAAAGTGTAGCCGTAATATGCGAACGTTCAAAAAAAAACATTCAGAGTGGCTATCAAAGTCTTTAAAAATAGTTTTGGATAACCAAGCGGATATTCCAAATTTAACAAAGGGACCAAAGCTATCTTATGAGGAAGGAGGAACGCGTCTTTGCCAAAGCACAATGTTTTAACACTTAGTATACATATGTAAGCATAAAATCTTAATGTATATCCTTTTATTCCTATTTAAGCAAAAATGAAATCCATGTTTATTATAAATAATAAAAATCAGTATAATATGTAAGAAAATAATAAATATAAGTATAAAAAACGAAATCTAACTTCAGATCACGTATACGTTATGTTGTCTTCCATGGGCAGTTAAGGTAGGCGTGGCCAAACTTACTAAAAACATTGCTTAAACATTTATAGTGGTGTATTCTTAAAATATGCTAAGTTTTTGCTCGATATATACAATTTTCGATTTTATGCCACTTATTTGGCAATCCGGCCTACTGTGCATCGGCCTGAAAATCATCCATACCGAATCGGCCATACCAAATCATATATGTACATATTTTCAACATAAAAAAGTATAAAAACTTAGAACTTTAGCTTACATATTAAAAAGTATTCCCTATCTCCAAAAATACTAAAGCTGGTATTTTTACCAAATACCGATTTCCGATCGTTCAGTTATAGAATAAGTTCAGCTTAGTTCAGAATCTATAGGCTACAGTCGACCGATTCTTATTAAATTTGATAGGCTGGATCAATCGGCAAAAAAGGATCTGTATAAATTTCTAACCTTTATGTTTAAAAACACGAAAGTTAGGTCATTTCGGATCTTTCAGTTATATACCAGGATATAACCGGCCAATCCCTATGAAATTTGGTAGGTCATATTATTTGACCTTGCAAAGGGTAGTTTAATTTTGTTCAAAAGTACCAATACCAATGCAATACCAATGCAAAAAATCATCAATACATTGGTGCGAAAACTTTTTCCCATCCATGTGGGTGCACTGAAAAATACAAGTATAGTAACACTCACAAGGGGTTTAAAAAAATCAATATAATAAAAAATACACTTTATTACAGCTCTTAAAAAAAGGCCCAACATTTTTTAAAACAGCTTATAATTATACTATGACAAATAATGCAGAGCTTCTAACTTACAAAAAAAAATTCATCGCTTCAGGTCGACCATTTTGGCAGAAACAAAAACAAAAATGAATATCTTGCAGTGAAAAGTTTTCTGCACTCCAACAACAAAATGCATTCGGATTAGCACGATTGAGGAGAATAGGGAAAACACGAAAAATTGTTATTGTAATTGCTCTTTGCCTATGGTGGGACCAACGAAGCTTATGGCGTGAGCAACGGAACCTTATGGCGTGAGCAGTCACACACAACTCCGTATGCATGAGCATTTGCAAAAACAAATGAACAGCGAGAGCAATGTGAAGAACACCACTGCTATAAAGTATATACCATATATGTAAGTATATGCCATATAACTGAACAATCGGAAATGAGCCAATTTTCGAGTTTTTGAAGATAGAAAGTTGGTACAGCCGGCCCATTTTTATGAAATTTGGGATATCGTTTATTCTGATAAAAGTAAAATCCATAGGATACTCTCTAACTGTAAAAACATCAAAGTTAAAGAATTTTCGATCAATCGGTAATATAGTCGGATATTAATAGGATACTAGTAAGGATCAGCCGATTATATCTTATAGCTGCCATATAACTGAACGATCGGAAATGGCCCAACTTTCGCATTTTTGAAGACAGAAAGTTGGAACTTCGTACATATTCTATATTTGGTCAATTGAGTTATATTATGATATTCTCATAAGGGTCAACCAACTATATCCTATGTTTTTGATATATATTCCTGCAAGGGCTTTACCTACAAGAGTATATCAACATCGGCTTCGCCCGAAGTTAGCTTTCCTTTCTTGTTATGTTTTACGATGCCACACTCTAATACTTGCACTATTTTTGCATTGGAGCTGTAAAGAAGAAAGGAAAGCTAACTTTGGGCGGAGCCGAAGTTGATATACCCTTGCAGTTAAAACCGGATATATATCGCAAACATCGGATATAGTTGGCCGATCCTTATAAGAATATGATAACATAACCCAATGATTTATAATAAAAAATTTAAACAAGAAAGGAAAGCTAACTTCGGGCGGAGCCGAAGTTTATATACCCTTGCAGTTAAAACCGGATATATATCGCAAACATCGGATATAGTTGGCCGATCCTTATCTGAATAGGAATATATAATCCAATTTGTTACAATACAAATTCTAAAAAAAGTCCCAAACTTCTATCTTCGAAAATACCAAAGTTGGTATTTCTACCAAAAAACATTTCCGATCGTTCAGTTATATGGCAGCTATGAGATATAGTCGGCCGATCCTAATGAAATTTGGTAGGTTGGATTAACTGACCAAAAATAGAATCTGTATTAAATTCCAGCTTTCTATCTTCAAAAACACGAAAGATGGGTTATTTCCGATCGTTCAGTTATATGGCAGCTATAAGATATAGGCGGCCGATCCTTATGAAATTTGGCATGACGTAATGTTTTGCCAAAAATAGCTCTCATGTCAAATTTAAACTCTCTAACTCTAGAAACACAAAAGTTATACCATTTCCGATCAATCAGTTATATGGCAGCTATAGGATATAGTCGGCAGATCCGGGCCGTTCCGACTTATATACTGCGTGCAAAGGAATGAAGGGTGTGTGCAAAGTTTCAAGACGATAGCTTTAAAACTGAGAGACTAGTTCGCGTAGAAACAGACAGACGGACAGACAGACGGACAGACAGACGGACAGACAGACGGACAGACGGACAGACGGACATGCTCATATCAACTCAGGAGGTGATCCTGATCAAGAATATATATACTTTATAGGGTCGGAGATGTCTCCTTCACTGCGTTGCACACTTTTGACCAAAATTATAATACCCTCTGCAAGGGTATAAAAAGTCCCAAACTTCTATCTTCAAAAATACGAAAGTTGGTATTTTTACCAAAACCCATTTCCGATCAATCAGTTATATGGCAGCTATAGGATATAGTCGGCCGATCCGGCCGTTCCGACTTATATACTGCGTGCAAAGGAAAGAAGGGTGGGTGAAAAGTTTCTATTCGATAGCTTTAAAACTGAGAGACTAGTTTGCGTAAAAACAGACAGACGGACAGACGGACGGACGGACAGACGGACATGCTCATATCAACTCAGGAGGTGATCCTGATCAAGAATATATATACTTTCTAAGGTCGGAGATGTCTCGTTCACTGCGGTGCACACTTTTGGACAAAATTATAATACCCTCTGCAAGGGTATAAAAAACATCGATGTGCCAAAAGATCTTTACATTTTATTAATTTTTCTAGTTACATACCATAACCATCTGTTGTTTTACTAACGTATCTTTATAATTTGGCTATCATCCTAATTTACTGGCGGTTTCCAGCTTTTTTCATATGTCATTTTAGCTTTTCTATTACCAGAAAAATTGACAACACTGATTCTATAGCTGAGACAATAAAAATGTATTCCTGCAGACCTCTAGCATTCATTCAAATTCTGTTTGGTATGTGCAAAACGCTTTAATAGTTACCGAAGCGTGTCTTTATCTTTTGTCGTTAAAATAATGGAGACTTGCCCAGGTTGACGCTTTTCATAGCATTCCTCAGAAAGGTATATCACGGTATATTTTTCAGGTGTATGATTGCGGTCGACTAATTCCAGAAACAGGAAACAGACAGTCCATTTAGAGTTCAATTTACCATGTCACCATACCATTGTTCTGATAAATGCGCTACCCATCGATGCATTATCGATGCAGTGTTTTTTTCGATTACAGCAGTTCAACTTGACATTTTGGGAAGATCAGTCGTATTCATTCATCTTTTCGCTAACTTTACCATGTTGCAGGAAATGCATGTATTGTTATTACTCAGCTGGGCGTCTTTTTTCTTGGCGAATTGCGTTTCGGCCGAGTCAAGCTTGCTAAACTGGGGAGCAAAGCAGATATGGACACGCAAAGCCAATATGGAGAACGTAGACAGTATGGTTAGTAAATCTGGAACCCTACATATGGCACAGCCCCAGCAACTGAAGGTACAAAAGCATTCTAAGGACGGGTACAAGGAGTTCGATCTCCTTGGACACCGTCGCATAAGTGACTCCTACAGCTTGAAAAATGATGTCAGCCTTATTTTGGAGCAAAAAAATCATAAAGACTCAATCCTTGCATCGTGGCGCGAAAACTTGTACGCTAGCCCATTGGCAAAAGGTTCCCTATTTCCCTCGAGGTCGTACGATCCGTACATCCGTCGCTACGATAGGTAAGCTTAAGCATCAGCCATAAATAAAATCTGGAAAAGCCAATATTATTTGGCCAAGCAAAACCTCGCATATTCCCCGCAGTTACACATACCATAGTCACATAATTACTTAATGCTCCGACAAATATTACCTGGCGATATCTATTATTAAAAAAATATATAGGATACTGTGTCTCTTTGAGTGATATTTTTGTGAAATCGTTGATCCACACCTAAAAACCATAAAAACCTATAAACCACACGATGCGTTTGCGTTTGATAATTGCTTTTAAAAAGAAACTAATGATAACTCAGGGCGGAGCCGAAGTTGAAATAACCATTGCAGTAACGATTAAATATATTTTGGAAATATTCAATATAGGTGTCTAATCCCTATGAGAATTTTATAAGTAACAATACCAATTTCTTAGAAAAAAAAATTTTTTTTTATATGTACCAAAAACAAGAAAGAAAAGCTAACTTCGGGCGGAGCCGAAGTTGATATACTCTTGCAGTTAAAACCGGATATATATTGCAAACATCGGTAATAGTTGACCGATCCTTATGATTACATCATTATAAAACTAAATAACTAAAATAAAAAATCTAAAAAAAAGTCCCAAACTTCTATCTTCAAAAATACGAAAGTTGATATTTCTACCAAGGACCATTTCCGATCGTTCAGTTATATGGCAGCTATAGGATATAGTCGGCAGATCCTAATGAAATTTGGTAGGTTAGATCAACTGAATAAAATAAAATAGAAAATATAAAAATAGAATCTGTATTAAGTTTCAGCTTTCTATCTTCAAAAACACGAAAGTTGGGTCATTTTCGATCGTTCAGTTATATGGCAGCTATAAGATATAGTCGGCGGATCCTTATGAAATTTGGCATGTCGTAATGGTTTGCCAAAAATAGCTCTCGTGTCAATTTCGAACTCTCTAACTCTAAAAACATCAAAGTTATATCTTTTCCGATCAATCAGTTATATGGCAGCTATAGGATATAGTCGGCCGATCCGGGCCGTTCCGACTTATATACTGCGTGCAAAGGAAAGAAGGGTGTGTGCAATGTTTCAAGACAATAGCTTCAAAACTGAGAGACTTGTTCGCGTAGAAACGGACAGACAGACGGACAGACAGACGGACATGCTCATATCAACTCAGGAGGTGATCCTGATCAAGAATATATATACTTTATAGGGTCGGAGATGTCTCCTTCACTGCGTTGCACACTTTTGGACAAAATTATAATACCCTCTGCAAGGGTATAAAAATAAGCTTCTATCTTCAAAAATACCAAGTTAGTGCACTTATCAGCTATATGAAAGCTATATTATATACTACGTGCAAAGGAAAAAGTTTCAGGTTTCAAGCCGATAGCTTTGAAACTGAGAGACTTTCGCGTAGAAACAGATGGACAAACAACGGACGACTATATCCTATAGCTGCCATGTAACTGAACTATCGGAAATGGCCCAACTTTTGTTTTTTTTAAGATAAAAGATTGAAACTTTCTACAGATTCTACAGCAAGGATCGGCAGTCTGTATGCATATCCTATAGCTGTCATGTAACTGACGATCGGAAATGTATTTAGGATTTGGTAAAAACACCAAATTTGGTATTTTTGGAGATAGAAGTTAGGGGCGTTTTAAATTTTATATTCTAATAAATTAGTTTTATAATGAAATTCTCATAAGGATCGCCCAATTGTATCCGATATTTCTGATTTATTTCCGATCCTAACTGCAAGGGTTAGGACCCATCAACATGGGCTCCGCCGAAGTTCGCTATCCTGTCTTGTTTTTTTTCATACCCCTGCATAGGGTTTTATAATTTTGGTCAAACGTGTGCAAAGCTGTGAAAAAAAAAATGTCCAATCCTATATATCAATAAAGTACATGCCTAATTGATAAAAGCATGTCTGTCTGTCTATCTTTTTCTACGCGAACCAGTCTCTCACACTTTTTTCCTTTGCACGCATTAGGTATATATGTACATATATGTAAGTCGAAACTTGATCTGCGTGGATACCATCGAAGTTCAAGTTCCAAAACAGATAGTTCTCTTATAGTCAAATTAGAGATATAAGACTTTATAGATAGATAGATTTGACTTCTGCTTAGGGAATTGCCGGTTGGCCCACCAACTCTGACCCAATATGTTAAAGAAAAAAACATCCTATTTATTAAGGATGAATGGGACGCGAATTGGCACGGCTCTTAGAGTCATCACGGGGCACTGGATAGTGGGAACACATGCTAGGCGAATGAATTTATCCACAACGACTACTGCCGCAGATGTAAGGTCTAAGAGGAAAAAGAAACAGTTGAGGATCTTCTATGCCACTGCCCAGCCCTTAGTCACTTAGACTATCACATCTCAGGGATAGATTCCTAAACGACATTATTGTTTGTATTTTTAGACGAAAAAACAAAATTACTTTGTTATTTTATTACTGAATAATACAAAAATATTCAGTTGTGCCACACAAAACACTTCCACTAAAATGTTGCTTCAATTTATCTTTAGGGTGCTAAACACTCATGTTTAGGTCTTTAATATACCAAATTTCAGAATTAAATGGCAATCCTATAGCTGCTTTAGTATTTGGTAAAAATACCATCCTTGATATTTTTGAAGAAAGAAGCTTGGAATTTTTATACCCTTGCAGAGGGTATTATAATTTTGGTCAAAAGTGTGCAACGCAGTGAAGGAGACATCTCCGACCCTATAAAGTATATATATTCTTGATCAGGATCACCTCCTGAGTTGATATGAGCATGTCCGTCTGTCCGTCTGTCCGTCTGTCTGTCTGTTTCTACGCGAACTAGTCTCTCAGTTTTAAAGCTATCGTCTTGAAACTTTGCACACACCCTTCTTTCCTTTGCACGCAGTATATTTCGTGTTTTTGAAGATAGAAAGCTGCAACTTGGTACAGATTATATATTTGGTCAGTTGATCCGACCTACCAAATTTCATTAGGATCGGCCGACTATATCCTATAGCTGCCATATAACTGAACGATCGGATATGGTACTTGGAAGAAATATCAACTTTCGTATTTTTGAAGATAGAAGTTTGGGACTTTTTTTAGATTTTGTATTGTAAAAAATTGGATTATATATTCCTATTCCCATTAGGATCGGCCAACTATATCCGATGTTTGCGATATATATCCGGTTTTAACTGCAAGGGTATATAAACTTCGGCTCCGCCCGAAGTTAGCTTTCCTTTCTTGTTTTAACTACACACTGCGCAAAGGAGTGACATAGGAGGAATTGCGTATTAGGTCGAATGTAGTAAAAAACTGTGTTTAAAATATTTGTAACACCCTCAATGTCTTGATTTATTTAGACAAAAACGTTTTTCGGGACTGTTTTGCTCTTAAAAATTCCTAAACGCATAATTTTAAACCGATTTGAAAATTTCCGACGTTTTTCATTAGTTAAATGTTGTTGCTTTTGAAAAAAAATGGATCTTAAATTTTTTTTAACAAAAAGGATAACATTTTTATACCCTTGCAGAGAGTATTGTAATTTTGTCCAAAAGTGTGCAACGCAGTGAAGGAGACATCTCCGACCCTATAAAGTATATATATTCTTGATCAGGATCACCTCTTGAGTTTATATGAGCATGTCCGTCTGTCCGTCTGTCTGTTTCTACGCGAACTAGTCTCTCAGTTTTAAAGCTATCGAAACTTGAAACTTTGCACACACCCTTCTTTCCTTTGCACGCAATATATAAGTCGGAACGGCCGGGATCGGCCGACTATATCCTATAGCTGCCATATAACTGATTGATCGGAAATGGTATAACTTTGGTGTTTTTTGGAGTACTTTGGAGTTAGAGAGATCAAATTTTACACGAGAGCTATTTTTGGCAAAATAATACGACATGAAAAATTTCATAAGGATCGGCCGATTATATCCTATAGCTGCCATATCGGAAATGACCCAGCAAGGGTATATCAACTTATAAGTATTTCTTATATTATTCGTTATTGAGTGAAAAAACGAAAGAAATTATATTATATTTTTTAATATTCCAGCATACATTATTTTCTTAGCGTAGCAAGCCTGAAAAGTTACAAAAATCAAATGTCTACAACATTTCCAAACATCGGCCTGAAAATCATCCATACCAAATCGGCCATACCAAATCATATACATATGTGCATATATTCAACATAAAAAAGTATAAAAACTTAGAACTTTAACTTACATATTAAAAAGTATTCCCTATCTCCAAAAATACTAAAGCTGGTATTTTTACCAAATACCGATTTCCGATCGTTCAGTTATAGAATAAGTTCAGCTTAGTTCAGAATCTATAGGCTACAGTCGACCGATTCTTATTAAATTTGATAGGCTGGATCAATCGGCAAAAAAGGATCTGTATAAGTTTCTAACCTTCTATGTTTAAAAACACGAAAGTTATGTCATTTCGGATCTTTCAGTTATATAACAGGATATAACCGGCCAATCCCTATGAAATTTGGTACGTCATATTATTTGACCCTGCAAAGGGTAGTTTAATTTTCTTCAAAAGTACCAATACCAATGCAATACCAATGCAAAAAATCATCAATACATTGCACTATAGGAAATTTTCTGGCCAAAAACCATTCTTGAAAAAGTTAAAAGATTAAAATAATTTTAAGTGCATATCATTCACAATAGATTAATTTTTAATGTTGCATACCAGTAATTTTCATAGATGGCGCCACTGCGAAGAAATCAGCTGTTAAAAACAGTGAAAATGTAAGTAGTCTAGCAAAGAAATTTTTAGAAATAAATCACATTTTTAAAAAGAGATTTAAACTAAGTCCGACCGAGTTGGACATTGTAATTTAGTCCATGTTGTAGATTGTTTAATTTTCTTCAAATGAGTGAAATATGAATATGCCCTTTTATGCACTTTCGAAGAAATGCATAATTTAAGGAGGCAACCTCAACACCTGGAATGTGAATCTGTTAGCTGTGAGACCGAACAGTTAGCATGTTATTTTTAAATA